CATCAGTGAGAGTGCATCCCCGATCATTACCTTTGTCTGACAAAGGAGTTGATCCTGTTACTATGATCACCCACTCAGATGAATTCTCAGATTGTCCCAACATACCCAGGTTTTGACCCCCGCTAAGGATCTCACTGATTGGTACATCAAAGACAGCCCAATTCGATACCTAGTGCAGTATCATAATCAACGATAGTTCAAAAACATTGCTAAGAACAATAAATAAAAGGGTAAAATATAAAAACCTCCGTTAAGATTTCTAACAATCATAGAATCCTAAGATTTCATCTTCACAAAAACCTCCCTTCTATTATTATAAACTAGGGTAAAAGACTAAAACCTCCCTTGAGGTTTCTCCTATATACTAAACATCCCCTATTTTTTAAAATTGGACTAAGACTGCTCCCGCATTGAATGACGTCACTAGACAAATACTTCTCCTCTCTTAACACTCCATCCGGATCCATTTGTAATGTGATGGTTAATTTTTCCCATCTATATATTCTTTCTTCGTCCCCTGGAGCACAACTCATGAATAATATGTCCACTTCTTGGATCTTCTATGACTAGTATATGTGCCAGCAGTGGTGCTACTCTGTTTTGAACAAAATAGTTAGTGGATCCTTCAATTTCAAATTCTAATATTTATATTTGGAGTGCTAGCGGCGGCTTGAATGCATTAACTTTATAGAAAGAGTTTAATCATCAGGAACCTTATCATGGTTCTGAAACCCAGAGATGCCGGTAGATTCATACGTGACATCAAACATATTATCTTCATCTCAAAGAAGGTGTTGTAATTGACCCAAACTTAGCCAGCTAGATTACATCACATTTTATCTATGCTAAAAGCACAAATCTCAAGTCTTGGGCCCATCACCGAACCTGAACCTGAGATTGGCAATGGTGGAATTAGAAGATTTGGATGATAACATTGGCCACTTTATATCACATTACATTAATTCTTTTGTTTATTTCTCAGAAAATGGACTTATTGGTGGAAGATGGGGCAAGGAAATTAAGGTCAGAGGTCTCTAAACTTAATTTTGATATAAAAAAAACTAAAAAACCAAAATAAATAAATACTTCAATTAGAATTATAGTTAGAGGGTATGATAGTAGTAAAGATGTAAAAACAATCAAAGAAAATAACATAATGTTATTCATGAAATAAGCCATGATTAATAGGGTGTTTGGTATGGCTTACGTTTATTTGATAAATGGTGTCATGTTATTATCATATGTGCATTTGTCCTATTTCGTACACTTATTTATTGATAAATATTTGTAATCTTAATTTACATGCAAGTCAATTGTTGGGGGAAGCTTTATTTTAACGTTTCCCTCAATACAAAAGTATTTATTTATTGTTCCGTTTATGTGGTGCCTAGTTGTCAACAAATACCAGAAAAAACGTTTATCAACCACGTTTTCCCGGTTTTGAAGACAAATCAAGTACAAATGTTTATTTAATAAATGGAAGCTATACCAAACATATACTAAACAGAAGGTGTCGATTCCTAAACAATGGACTAACATGCTTGGTTTAAAGCAACAGAGTCCACAAAGTTTATAATTCAAAAACGTGTATTTGATTCTAATCTCTCAAAACATCATGGTTCTAATCGAGATAGATGATCTTCTCATTGGATTTGTAATCTTTTTCTTTTTTTTTTCTTCTATCCCATATTTTTCCTTGATCACAGTTTGGTGGTTTTCTTTAAAAATTTAAAGAACAAAGAAGGGCAAAAATGTTATTTTGTAGAATCTGTTAAATGTGATAATGTATCTTATTAATATGGGAGGTCTAAGTCCAATAAAGAACCATAAGGGTGGTATAAGTATTTATCTTTTACTCTATAAACTAAATGCTAGTCGAAACATTTGATAAATACAGCTCTAGACTTAATACATTTTTTCTGTGAGCTATTTGTAAAACCCCTTAAAAAACCTGCGGTTACATCCCTTTTGTTATTATTTTGGATGGAAAAAGATTCACCAATTGCATTAGATTTTTTAAAGTACCCATTTTACTCTTATATCTAACAAATCATATGAAAAATTATTAAAATACCCTTAAACTATTTTTTTTACTTTTAATTAAAATAATTCTCAAATTAAAGTAATTTTACTCTATGAAAGCGATAGAATCAGGTGGCATTTGATAATACTTTTCAGACCTTTGAAGTCTGAAATATCTGCTTTTCAGATGCCATGCTCATTTGGTATTTGCATCTGAAATGTTTTTTTAGATTTGAAATGTTCTCTCTCTCTCTCTCTCTCTCTCTCCCTTGTCTTCCTGCCACCGTTGCTACAACTCTCAGTAGTAGCAATGGTTTTTTTCCAATTTATTCTTATTTTAATTATTAATTATTTAATAATTTAATATTTTTAAGATATTAATTTGATAATCAGTAGTAGCAATGGTTTTTTTCCAATTTTATTCTTATTTTAATTATTAATTATTTAATATTTTTAAGATATTAATTTGATAATTATTATTTTTTTATTGTTTCATGGTCTTTATTACTATTTTCACTATTATTTTAACTTATAATAATTTATTTTAATTTATAAATTGATATGTATTTTTCAAATTTATTCTTATTTTAATAATTTTTTTTTTATAATTTACTCATATTTTTTAATATTATTTTGAATTAGTAAATTCTTTTTTATGAAATAATATATATTGAACTCAAAATTACCAAATAACCTATTTTAGGGGTAAAATAGTAAAATCAATAAATTTCAGATGTTGAAGGTTTGATCCAACACAAACAACCTTCTTTATTTAGAGTCTCTATAAAGTAAAAAACAACTATATCTCTTTTTCAAATTTCAGACACTTTTAATATCTTTTTAATTTTTCAAATTCAAATTTCAGATTTTAGATTTATCAAAGGCCACCTCAGTAAAGTCTAAAGTAATAAATTTATCATTTTGAATTATATTGAAAAATGCTTTAATAAGTTGTAAGGATAATTAAACATGAAAGGGAGGTAACCAAAGATTTTTGTGAAACTACAGGGGAATTATTATGAATATCAGAAACTTCAGGGATGTTTTTATATGTTATCCCAAGTTAAAAAGCATTTACTCGCACAAGAATACAAGATCTTTGTCTTTCCATTTTTGTAAAGAAGAGGAGACGCTTTGTGGGTTTCTCAGAACCCGAGGGAGAAAATCTAGCAAAAGGTAAAGGGAAGAAAAAGAAAATAAAAATTCAGAAAAAATGAGCTCTTTAAAAAGCTAATTCTTGGGCGCCATTTGGACGCTATTTAACACCAAGACGAAAATCTCGTAATAAATAATTCAAATCTACGTTGAAGCTTCGGAGACTATTTGTTTTTTCCTTTTTTTATCTCCTCGAGTTGTTGCGTTGCTCTGTAAATCTCCGTTTTTGAGGTTTGCGATGGGGAAGTTTTGTAGGATTGTTCAGTTTGAAGAGTTTGGAGAGTTCGTTTTCTGCGTTTTGAGCTAATTATGCATTTTTTTTGAGGTTCGGAGTATGCTTGCTAAAGCCGTTGAATTTACGTTGAAGGAAGAATTGATGCAACTTTTTGGTTCTGGAGTTGCAGTGAAGGTGTGACAAGGTTTCTTTCCTAAGGGAATTTCGATAGATGAGATCGGTTTTTAGTAGTAAAAATGAGAGAAATGAGTGGATGCAGCTGCTAAATTCATTATTTCCTTGCTCTGTTGCTTCAAATTTTGCAGATCGATCAGCTTTGGTTTCCGCTTTTTATGGCCTAAGTTTACTGGTTTTTAGCTCCTTTTGAAGGATTTCCAGTTTTGTTTTAGCTCATTTTAAAAGATTTTTTTTCTTCTTATGTTGTGGAATTTGTGACAATTGAATTCGTGAATTCTCAGTCTTTAAGCTGAATTTTATATTTCTCGGAATGTATAGAAACAGTTTCTTTTCATTTCCGTTTTTGTTAAATTTCATCCACCCGTTTTGAACTGAAATGTTCAGTTGTCGTTGTTTTCTGTTCTGATCACTAAGTTAATGTTTTCTCTGGAGGTCGAAGCATCTTCACTTTCATGATGAAAACTTGGTCGGATCTGTGATTCAGGAAACACAAAGCATTACGTTTCTTATTTGGTTGCTTGTATGAATTCATTTAAGATCCTCGACTGGCATTCTTATGCGAATTTCGGAGTTTCGGTTTTGCTTTATTTACTTTGGAATCTTATTCTTTTAACAATTAAAAGGAGTTTCCGATCTGCTTATCTAACTTTTCTGGTTCTTTTTTTTTCTTCAACAGAATTGTTTTACCTTTACTTTCATCTTTCAAGTTTCAAGTTTCGGTGTTCTGATGTTGGACGCATGGGTTGTTTGTTGCTTTGATGTTGGGTCAATATGCAACTTACCTGTATTTCACTTTCGTTGTGAAAAAGCAATTTTGGGAGATAAATAATAAATACAGAAAGAAAAGTTTCCCTGTCATATATTCCTTGTGATTCATTTGTTTTCAATTTTTCTCTTTTCTCATTTCGCTTATTCATGAGAAATTTGTGCAGAGATTCAGAGACATTTTGATGGTTGAATTCACCTACTGAAACTGGTGAGAGGATCTATCTTTCATGTATTTGCTTCCTCATTATACAAGGGAAGAGTTCACTAGTGCAAGAAAAAAGAAAATGAAGGAAACCAAGAAATGAAAGATCAAGTATATAGAATTATTTGTTGTTTCTTGAAAGTTTTAGAGGGTTTTAGTAACATTCTATACAATTTCACTCGTGAGTAGTGTACTGCCCTGTTGGTTGACAATAAATTAACCCTCTTCGTGTCTTGTTTCACTTCAAAGTTTTCTACTTTACTCGTGACTGTTGTCATCTCCGAGTTTTGGGGTTTTACCCTTGTAACTCTTCTTGTGAATTATATAATGGAATTCTGTTTTCTGGTAACCCTTAGATCATGTGAGCAAGGTTCATTCTGATGCATTTCATCTAACTTGCGGAGGCTTTATATTTTCCAGGAAATTCAATTTTGTTTTATTTTTGCTGGCAGAAATAGGTTGCAGGATATGGGATGCTTTGTATCAACACCAAAAGATTCAGGAGGAAATAGAAGACGGCCAGGAAATGTGGGGGAGGTGGCTGTGTTTGTGCCTGGATTACGGATTCCTAAACCTGTGGATTTCTCTCAGCCACTTGGTGGTATATTGTCTAAGGGCTTAGTGGAGCGTCTTTCTGCTCTTAGAACTCGAACAGTTGTCATGGCTGGCCAAGAAGCACCAACTGCAATGAAAACAAGAAGAACAGCCACACAGCATGGTTTGTTTAGTTCTTTAGAAACCTCAGGTTATTTTAGTTATGGCTGAAAAATATATGCATAACCACAATGATGGAATTGTTCTATAGGTGGTTCAACATTGGCTGATCTTCAACAGGCTCTTGAGGATTACTTGCCAGTTCTGCTGGGACTAGTTAAAGATGGTAACTCAATATAAGAATACGAATAATATTTCCTATATTTAATTGAAATCCTAATGTTAACTATTGCTGCACAGGAAGCCACTTGCAACATAAAGTGCAGTTTATTTGGGTTAACCAGGAGGATGATGCAGAGGTAGGATAAGTGGATTTAATGCATTCTTTGGCACCTTACAATTGCTTTTTCTTTTTCTTTCTTTCTTTTAGTTATCTTTCACTCAGTTTCTTAAAATTTGATGAACTTTAGCTATGATACCAATCCTTATTTATATATATTTTCTCTCCAGGAAACAACCATGTCAAATGCATGGTATGAGGTATTGTCGGTTTTACATTTGATGGCAATGATATCATTATCACAGGTCAATTTATTGCTTCTTCCTAAAACATCTGCTGATGGTTATCAGCCAAAAGTATCAGAAGGTGGGTATTTACTGCAGGCCTATCTACTGTTAAATATTGTTATGTATGTTAGACTAGTCTGATAAAAAGACAATTTCATGAATTTATTCATTGAGTTGGTTCTATCCTTTCAATGAATCTAGAACTTTAGCCTGGTGGTTCCTATTACTTTTTTTAGGGGGCTAAAGTTTAAACTTGCCTTTGTTCCATTTGCATAGCTTGCAATTTTCTTTCCACAGTAAATATTTTGGAAAATCTCTTCTTCAATACATAGACAAATCATAATCTTTAGGGTTAGAACCTGTCCTTTATTGCTCTGCAGATTGGATGGTTGTGCATATATTCTAGGCTAGATAAGTTGAGTATTCAATCTTAAATCCAAACCTTTCTATGTAGAAAGGAGTAATAGGGACTATGGCCTCTTCATATTCTCTTGTTTAAAGGTTAATATCCTTCATATTCATATATTTTCACTATTTATTTACTTTCAACTAGGATTTTTCCTCCCCTTCTTTGGTAGGTTGAATTCTAGAGCATTTTTTTTTGATAAGCTGGATTTGGAGTTTGTATTTGCAATTCAAAAGTTAACCAAAGGAAAATATCCTCCATATTCATATACTCTCACTATTTATTTACTTTCAACTAGGATTTTTCCTCCCCTGCTTTGGTAGCTTGAATTATTGAACTTTTTTTTTTTGATAAGCTGGATTTGGAGTTTTTATTTACAATTCAAAAGTTAGCCAATTGGGCAATAACCTTCATCCCAACACTTTTTATTCAATCAGCATATGAGATCCATTGATGTTATGTGCAACTAGGTTTATGCTATGTTGAAAAGCAACGGGGAGCTCTCAAATTGTTTTAGATACATGCTATCCTTATATGAGTCTTGCTATGTAGTTTTTCAAGCTTTTCTAGTTGCAAGAGAAACTCATAACTAACTGAATAAGTTTCTGTGTTGATAATTTTATACTTAATAAATACTTTGCACGTTCATTTCTACTCTTACGGTCTTACCCATGGATCATCCTGTTAACTGTGCTATCCATTTGGGTGTATGCATGGTGCTTAGTTGTTCTAGTGGGAGTTTGTTCTTCAAATTTCTTACCTTCCTCATGTCACTTTGCTTGATTCTGCTGGTCATGTTATAAACTATGTTATGTTTTTTGAGCAGAGAGCAGACGAACTTCCATAGATGTTTTATTGAAGGCAGCTGGATATTTGGATTATGCTGTCAATTATGTTATCCCCCAGTTGCCCCCTGAACTTAGGTTTGTCTATTATTGTTGTATTGTTGGAACAGGGTTGACACTTCTTAAATTTACAAGATTATTGGGTTTAGGTATGTTGTTACAGTCACTGTCACACTTCACATTGTTATGTTAACTACTGTGACAACTGCTGCAACTGTAGGAGAACTCTTCCTATAGACCTTAATGAAGGAATATTACGAGCACTGTGTCTGCAAGCACTTGGCCAGGTACAACCTCACTCCTTTATGCCTCTTGTCATTGTAATAATCTAATCTTTTCTTTCTTGTGTCAAATATTCAATTTTTTTTTTAATTTCCTTGGTTGTCGTAATAAACTATTGGATTATTTATATTTTGCATGTAGACATGGTCCCATTCACTATACTTGAAAGCAATCGACTTGAATTGAATTTGCCTTTTAATTTTGTTGTTATTAATGGTTGAATAGCAAGGAAGAACCCAATTTGTCATGCTAAACTTAGCTACCTAACCTCATTTTTGTCAATTTACATTGATCATTGGAACATCATCCCCCCCCCAAAAAAAAAAAAAAAAAAAGAAAGGGAAAAAAACTGAACCCTATTTACTCCTTGTTTGGTCATTGCATCAGCCAAGTTATTTACTGATTTAGTATCCAGGTCTCTTGACAAATATCTAATTTCTCTTATGATGTGTTGATATTGCTTTAACCTTGGGTGTTATTCTTTAGTCAGTCCACTACCACCTTGAAGTCCCCTTCCAGCAATATATTCATAAAATTTAGGGATCTTAACAGTCTCAATCCCTGTAGAACAGCTATTACTTTTACTCTTGTTGAATCTCCCTGTAGCCTGTAGGAATTTCTAAACACTGTCCCTATGCCAGACGTAACTAGATTGCCCATACTACACCCATCAAAGTTTAATTTAATTTGGTTATTCTGGTGTGCACGAATCCATGGAGATAAGAAGTCTAGTTGAAGACGGTGAGCTACATATTGCCACCATTTCTTGATGCCATCCTAAGTGTCTTTTCCATCATGTTCAATGATAGCCTCCTTTGGAAGTGTCTTTTCCTTGAGCATGCTCTTATTAGATGAAAATCATGTTATATTTGTAACATGCTTATTGCTTAGCGTATGAGACAGGATCCCTTGGGAATTGATAATGGTTATTTTTCAGATATTTAAGTGATATCATAGGGTGTTTTTGTCAATCATTAATTATGGGTATCTATACTATACAAATGCCAAAATTTGCAAGCAACTTCACATCAATGCAATTGCCATCATTTGCAATATGTTTAAAACCTAATCAATAATTTTTGTTTATTGGTACACATGCAGCATATACCTCTTCACTAGTTTTCTTAATTTATGTTTTTTAATATAAAGCCTAGTGAGATGGGTGTAAGGCTCAAACTTTTTTCCTCCCATTCTTTTCTTCTTTTCGTTCTCTATTATTTCCTCCTTTTCTTTTACTTTGTTTCACTAAATCACTCAACAATCATCTTAAAATCAAAAGCTTGGTATCAAAGTATGAGTTTCATTCTTCACTAATTGAAGTCATCATGGTCAATTTCTGGTTTCATCATGGCTAACTACTTATGTCAACACTGGACTACACCCTCTAAGAGAGAAAGCCCTAAATCATGGTTAAATGCAACTTTAGAGTTTGGTGTAGCCAGGGCTTATGAGCTAAAAACTGAAGTGGTAAATCTGAAACAAGGGGAGAAACTTGTGTCGATTTAACTCTCAACTGTGAAGTCTTTATGGCATGAAATTGATCACTTGGAAACAATTGAATGGTAAAGTCAAAAGGATGCAACAGTGTATAACAAATTGATGGAAAGAAATACGGTTTTTGAATTTTTAGTGGGGCTGAATTCTGAATATGATATTGTGAGACAACAACTTCTCACTTGGGAAAGTGTTACCTTGCCTCAAGCCTATTCTTTGGTGCATAGTGAGGAGAGTAGAAGGAAAGTTATGCTACAAAATTCCCAAATTGACTCAGCCTTAGTAGCTATGAAGTAGAAGCATGGTGGTGATAAGGAGAGAGAGGTAAGGAAGGTGTAGAGAGACTAGGCCAAATGGGCTCTAATATTTCTTTTACGTTTAAGTAATGTTATATCTGTTTTATGTGTTAATGGGCCTGTTAACCTCTTTTTAAGTTCTTTTAAGTTACTACTTTGCTGGCCACCCACTTAAAGGGTAGACTTGTAATTAGCATGATTAATTAAGGTTAATAAAAGATTAGTGAAGGGAGGGAGAGAGAACCATCAAACTCTCTTCTTCTCCATCTTCTTCTTCTATTCTGCTGTAACCTTTCTTTCTCTCTCACTTTTTCTTATTTCTTTCGTTAGTTTTATATCAGATTTGAAGGACAGACTCACATCTTGGTATCAGAGCATTTCTTCCTCCACTTTTCTTTTTCTTTTTTTCCCATACACCCTTCGATTATAAGAGTGTATGGAGAGATAAATTGCTGATCAGTCAGAGGACTATTTGCCTAGTTCGTAGAGTTAGAATCTGGCAAAAAATTGCCAGAAATTGAAGCTATAGTTTTTTTGTCCAAAACCTTAGCTGGCTAGAGAGATTTCAAGTTATAGGTTAAGGAGAAGGATTGGGTGTGGTGCTCAGGGCTTGGGAGGTGTATTTTGATCCTCAAAAGTGTGTGGTTGAGATTTGAAGGAGGTTGGGAAGCTTTGGTAGGAGTGGCTGCTTCTCTCTTCCTCCCTGACACTAGGTGCAGTGAAACCCTAGTTTTTTAATCTCCAGGTATTGTATTGACCTCGATTAGGTCCATAAAGACTGAAAAACTAGTTTTTTGATTTTCGTTTGATCAATGGAGCAATATGGAAGTGAAATGAAATAGATGCCGGTATTCGAGGTTGGTCTGGTAGATTCCTTTTTGATTGATGTGACCACAATAAACTAGATGGAACCAATTATCTAGCTTGGGCACAATCCATATAGACTTATGTTTGCAGTAAAGGTAAACTAGGGTATCTTACAGGTAGTAAAGTGAAACCTGTAGAGACGGACCCTGCATATGAGAAATGGATGTAGGAGAAGTACACAGTGATTGGGTGGTTGGTCAACTCTATGCAGACCCATATAAGGCAGCATTACCTCTAGATGACCTCAGCCAAGGAGATTTGGGATAGTGTTACAGAAACTTATTCACAAAAGTTAAATGTTGCAAGAGCCTATAAGTTGAAGAGTGATGTGAAAAATCTGAGACAGGGGGAGAAGAGTGTAGCAATTTACTACTCTATGTTGAAATCACAATGGTAGGAAATTGATCTTATGGAGACAGTTGTGTGGGAGAGTACTAAAGATGCAAAGACATTTAGAAAACTGGTGGAACGAAATAGGGTGTTTGAGTTTCTCACAGGACTCAACCCTGAGTTCAACATTACTAAGCAAAACATCTTAGCCAAAGATAAGGTCACTCTGGCTCAAGCATATGCCATGGTAAGTAGTGAAGAGAGTAGGCGGCAAGTACAATTACAGGGACCATCTACAGAACACTTTTTACATGCTGGAATAAAGCCAAAGGGGCCAACTAAGAAGAAGGAAGTGATATGTGAATACAGCAAGAAGCCGAAGCATACTAAGGACACTTGTTGGACACTTGATCCAGATCTTCTCTCGAACAGGTTTCGGAACAATAACTATAACAACTTTAAGAAGAATGGTCAGACTGGGAAGCCTAAGAATGCTAATGTTGCCATAGTGTTTGAGGGTGGAAACAAGGAAAGTGAAGAAAGATCAGCTATGGAGCAGCTGGCAGCAGTAAAGGCAGAGTTTGAAAGGTACAGGAAGTTACTTAATCACTTGGAGACCACTGTTTCAGCATCCAACCCTTCAGGAAATACCTCATCATCCACATTTGCTCACTCAAGTACTCGTGCTTCTACAAATCATGCTATGATTTCAAGTAATCATAAACTCCCTTAGATTATTGATTCTGGTGTATCAGACCATATGACTAGTTTATCTAATCTCTTTTATTCATAGCATCTCCTCTCTGGTAGAGAGAAGATATCCCTTGCTAATGGGTCTCTTGCTCCCATCTCTGGCAAAGGAGATATCAAGGCCTCTGACACCCTTGTTTTATCCTCTGCTCTTCATGTCCCCAAGCTTAATACCAACCTTTTATTTGTTAATTGTTTATCTGTTAACCTTTTTTTCCTATCCATTGTGTTTTTCAGGACCTAAAATCCCAAAGGACGATTGGAAGTGGCCATGAGGTGAATGGAATATGCTTGCTGGACACACCTGCTAGGAGTCTTGGACCACCTAATAGAGTTGCTTTGGAGTTGTTTTGTCTATTGATAGTCATGTTATGTCATTTACGGTTTGGTCATTTACCTTTTTCTACTTTGAGTCATTTGTTTCCTGATATGTTTAAGAAAGTGTCTTTATCGAGCTTCATTGTGAGTCTTGTGAACTTGCGAAGCATTGTAGACATTCTTATTCAGTAAGCAATAAAAGATTTTATTCTCCTTTTCATATTGTGCACTGATGTGTGGGGGCCATGTTATTTGCTTACTATGGGGGTTACAAATATTTTATTCTCTTTATTGATGATTATTTTCGCTATATTTGGATTTATCTCATTAGACCCTGGGATGAAGTAGAGGAAAGGAAGAGCCGCCATGTGGTTGAGGTTGCTAGATGCCTCCTTTTTGTATTTCATGTTCTTATTAAATTTTGGAGGGATGCTGTCCTTACTACCACTTTTTTGATTAACCCTATGCCTTTCAAAGTTCTAGGTTTCAAGACCCCGTTTAGCCTTCTCTTTTTGGATGAGGATCTCTTTTCTCTTCCTCTCCAAGTTTTTGGGTGCACCTACTATGTCCCATGTTCATAATCATCAGAGATACAAATTTGAGCCAAAGGCACATAAGTGCATTTTTCTAGGATATGCCTCTACACAGAAGGGGTATTGTTGTTTTAATTTGGTTCGTGGCGCCCGCTTTGTCTCTAGGGATGTCACTTTTGCTGAGTCTATTCTTTTCTTTGGTATTCCTCATGAGGGGGAGCATTCTAAGGAACCATTTGCTATGTCTCCACTCTCCAGTTATTCCTCTTCCAGTTCCTTTTGAGTTTTCTGCTGAGTCATCTTCTTTTGTTGCCTCTCCTTCCATTATGTTCACCTCACATGTTCTTGCTCCCCCTCCTCCCCCAGCTCATCCTCCTATATTTTCCTCACATCCTGTTCTCCAAAGGTGGTACTATA